ATATAATTAAAAATAATATAATACCAAATTTATTTTAAAAGCATAAACTATGGAAATAAAAATTACATCTATGGAACACTTTTATTTCTAAATCACAACAGCTAATATGTCTGCTTTCATCTCTTTCTTTCCTTGGAAACTAAAAAACAAAAGCCTTATTCATCTCTACTTTAATTTCACCTTCTGAATTTATTTCTGGGTACCCAGATCAGCTGATTGGATTAGTCAGGTAATGTAACCCAGCCGTCTTTTGCCTTTATCTCTTCGCAGACTGGAGGATATATTGCAAGCTCCTTAGTGCAGTGTACAAGGCCTCTCATTATCTGGTTCCAGTCCACCTTCCAGCCTCATTTCTCACCACTTCCTTCCCTGACCCACTTACTGGGGGGCTTACTGAAGAAAGAGCATGGGCTCACAAGTGTGTTCCAGTGCTCCAGATGCCTCCGCTTCACCAAATGCCTCTGGGAGTCCCAGGCCTCTTCCTTCTGTATATAGGATAGGCTTCAGGAAATGGGGGAGGATTCTTCTGTGCTGGCTCACTACAAATTGTTGAACTAGGCGATGAATTTAAAGAGGGTAGGCTTGATTACTTGGATCAACATGTAGAGAAAAGGACCATTCTCAGGTGTTGGACAGTGGCACCTTTTCACAGCTATGTTGAAGAATGTCCTGTCTGGTCTCACCTGAAAAGGGTCGTTGGTCAAGGGTTTGAAACACTTTCACATCTAAAGAGTGACCTTGAGATGTGCCTGCTGTGTAGCCTGGAGCTGCTCTCTGCCCAGGATGGTAGTGGGTAGCAATGAAGTTACAGAGGATGAAGATTTTCTCATTGGGGGCTCCCTGGAAGTCATTATAAATAAGTTCTACAGTAGAATAACAAGTATTATTAACTTATAAGAATAACAAGGCCACAGAAAGTTAATATCAAGGATACTTCTCCACTTGGAATGCCCCTGTTCAGTCCTAAGTTTCAGGGTAGTGTGATATGGGAAGGGGTATATGCACTTCTGATACTTTTTTAAAAGGACCCTCAGGAGTCTTACACTGATAGTATAACCTTCACAACCGTGGCAGTCTTTTATTATGCTATAAATGGAATGAAATTGTATAGACTCATACATATGCACACTCATATGAGCGTACGTGTCACTGGTGAACTGTGAATAAGCTCTGTGGTTTGTACCCACACCGATCTCCTGGTTTTTGTGTCATACTGTGGTTAAGCAGGATGCTAACAGTGGAGAATACTGGGTAACAAGTGCCTGGAGAATCTTGCTATACATTTCTTTGCAAATTCCTGTGAATTTATAATTATCTTAAATGAGGGTGGAGGAAACTCAGACCTACTGAAGCATTTGATCTAAAACAGTCCACTGGAAATGGTCTTGAAGCTAGTAGATCTTAGGTAAAAACAGTATCTCTGTGTCCACACTCAAAGCTATTCCTGAAGAAAAGGATAAAATGAGCCGCCATGGTCAGCATATTCAAGATGGGTACAGAGGACACAAGCGTCTTCAACTCACTGAACAAGAGGGTCTCTTACCATCCAAATCAGTCCTCAGCCCCTTTTCTCGAAACAGGCAAATGAACAGGGGCCTTTGAACAGTCTTAAAAGCCCAGAATATATTGAATATCATAAACTTTGAAGACTGCCATTCTCAAATCATGTTGGCCTTATCCAGCGCTACTGACTGCAACCAAATTCGATCATCCAGCAATACGTACTGGGCACCCAACATGTATCTGGCACACTTCACTCTTCTGAGTGTTTGGGATATGGCCAGGAACAAAACAACCCTAACCTAGGAGAGCTTCTGTTGCAGCATGGGAGGGGGAAGCGGGAGGAAGAGAAAATAAACAATGTTAGTTAACTGTAGAGCATATCATAAGGTGATAACTGTCATGGGGAGAGGAGGCAAGCCAGGTAACAGGGACCCAGAACTCAGGATAATGGTGGAAAGAGAGGGAGTGTTCCTTGCTTCTCTGAATTCTTAAGGAATGTGTTTGTATTAAAATCAGCCTTCTGTGTGCATTTTCTTTTCCTGCTACTAATTCTCTGCTCCACTCTTCCTTTGTACTTCTTCCTAATACCTCTTTTCTTACCTCCACTTTTTATCCGTACTACTGGGGATCGAACTCAGAGCCTTCACACTGCTACATTCCCATCCGTTTTTTTATTTTCACATTTTGAGACAGAGTTAAAGACATTTGTTACAGTGATACATTCATGCTTTTGTTTATAGTAGTGCAATTTGTAATAGCTAAATCTTGGAAACAGCCATTATGCCCATCAACAGATGGATGGATAAAGAAAATGTAGCATTTATACACAATGGAGCACGATCTTGCTATAAAAGAGGATAAACTTGAGGCATTCCTAGGTAAATGGATGCATCTCAAGACTGTAATGTTAAGTGAAATCAGACACACAGGTTTAATTATTGCATATTGTCTCTTATATGAGAAACCCAAAATATAAAGAGCAAAACAAAAGATAATAGGAAGTAGGTAGATATTTTTCAAATGGAAAGAGGAACGAGATGGAGGAAAGGGAAAAAAGATTTTAAAAAAGAGTTGATAAAATGGAAATAGAGCTTTTGTAAATGGGAAGGGAAACAAGTTGGAGTGAGCAAGGAGGGATGAGAGGGAACCAAAAAATGAAATAAGTTGTGTTATATACGTGTACAAATTCCCCCACGATAACTGCAATCATTATGTACTGCAAACGTGTACTAGTAAAATTTTTTTTTGAGACAGGCTCTCACTAAATCACTAAGTTGCCTAGGCTGAGCTCCAGTTTGGAATCCTCCTGCTTCCACCTCCTAGAATGATGTGATATTAGGCAGGTGCCACTGTGCCTGACTCTCCACTTTTTAATTTCTTTTTAAAAAATTTGTGTTAGTAGATATTTGCAGCACATAATGATTACATTCATCGTAGGGAACTAGTACATGTACATAACACATCTCAAGTCTTGTTCCCCCATTCCTTTTACCCTTTTATTTTGTGATCATCAGATTCATTTATTTATTTTATAAGTCATTATAAAGTTAATTATCATATATACAGACTAACAACCAGGCATAGGCTACAGAACAGGTAAGACAATTATACTCAGTCAAGCTATACTTTTTGATACATTGTCTGTGCTGGACATTTATTTCCATTTTTTATTATAGCCTTTGACTTTTTTCTTCCATTAATTCTCTCTTTCTTATGTCTCTTCTTCCTTAGGTTATTTTTTCATCAGTGGTTCTGTCACCTTTTTCACTGTTTTATTCCTGTGACCTTTTCCTTCTCCTCTTGCTATTTCTACTTTTCTCCCATTCTTTCTGTTATGTGGCTTTCTTGGGAAGCTTGAAGTTCATAGGATTAGAGTTGAAGAGCCTCATTATTACATTGCTTATTATCTGCATGATAAATGCTTTCTATCCTAACTGAAATCAAACTTTCTTCACTTAGCTAGCCTGATGCAGAAATAACCCTAATTTCATTGACTCCCATATTATAGATATAAGCCCCAGATAGATGATCCCACCGCAATATTTCTGAAATATGGAAGGGACCTTATGAGAATATTCATAGCAGCATTATTCATGAAAGCTCAAAACTAAACAAAACAACCACAAATAAGATAAATATTTGATGGAATACTGTACAGGAGGGAGAATTACTTGGATGAAATCATTATAATCTTGCAAGAAGACAAGACACAAAAGAGAGAAAAGAAATAATTTCTTTTTTTGCATGTCTAAAAACACAGGTTTTAGAAGTCAGGACAGTGATAACCACCGGAGCAATGACTAGGAAGGAGTACAGGAGGGTTTCTGGCGGCTGATTATGTTCTGCCCATTGACTTGGGTATAGGCTAACAGATATGCTTGTTTTGTGAAAGTTCTTCAAGCAATACATTATGATTTGTGTCCTTTTATATGTGTATTATACTACAATGAAAAATTTGCTTAAAATGAAAGCCATGGTATAAAATAAGCTGGAAGTATTTGGGTAAAATTACAAGATTTACCAGAGAGATTTGTGAGTAATATTGTTTATTGCAGTAATAAATCTACAAAAATTTATGTACAGACAAATGGAAGTGGACCTACAGAGAATACATCAAAATGGTACTGATAGAAGCAATGGCAAACTTGGAATGTAGGATTTTTCATACATTCATTACTTTTTCTCAGGTCACATGTAAATATAGTTTAAAAGCTAATTTTATATTTATTAAAAATATTTGTAAATATTTCCACATTTATATGATTTTATTTTTTCTCTTGCTATAGAAATTCATGTACAATACTGGAACCTTATCCTACAAGTTAAAAAAAATAACAAAAGACAGCTTTAACTTCAAGTAAAATTTCCACAGACAATACAGAATTAAAAGCATACTTACTAAATCACAAAATATATCAGAGAAATAGTATTCTTAGTGTGTGTGTGTGAAACAAGTCAAACCATGGTCTTCTATAGTCACAAATGAACTCAAGATTTTATAAAGCTCTAGCTTATTATAAAAGGGAACTTTGGTGTTTCAATTTTTAAAAATGAACAGTGCATATTTCCTCTCTTGAACAGAGGTATCCACTTTCTATGACTATTACATTCACTCTTTAGAGATATGACCTGTTGCCATTATAAGTAGGTATCACCATGAAAATGAATGGCATTATAATCCTGGTGTTGTCATGACCAGATACAACCAGAATTCAGGATCAACTAATGTGATACAATCACTGATCTTCTTCCTTCAAATGTAGACACATAGTTCTGATTATTGTTGGCACTCAGAAAAGATTAAGTAAAGCTAAGGTATAAAATTAAATGTTCTGGCTTAAAGTATGATTTTTGTAAGTAATGATTTTTCCAGTGTGTATATTCCATGACAATTTTTTTCACTTGATATTAAATTCATTTAGAATGTTTTGCCTTTTAAAATGTATTTTAAATATAGACAACTATAGACTATTTTTAGATTTTTTTGAAGTCAGAATTCAGTGAAAAATTATTTATCTTACATACTGCTAAATATTTAGAGAAAAATGTAAGCTCATTTTCATCACCCGTGGTCTTGTATGGAAATTGTTTTTGCTCAAAATAGCAGTTTTCAGTTAGATGTTAAATAGACCATATCTATATATACCTTCACACAATGATCATTTCTGTAAGACTAAGTTTAAACTGCATTTTCTAGCTACTCTATTGTATTTTCTTTTAACTGTGATCCATGAGTATCATGTTGAAAATTTATTTCTATAAACAATGAAAATCATCTTATCTGTTTCACTTGTCTGCATCAGTATTTTTAAAAATAGCCAGGTTCTATATAGCTTTTAAGCGAACCATTTCCAGCATCAAAGAGACCATGAATTCTGGTTATACATCTGGTCACATATAAAAACACTTCATTATTTTGAGACAAGGTCTCACTGGCTATTGCCTCCTGCCTCAGCCTCTCAGAGTGTTGAGATTATAGGCCCATGCCACATGGCTGGAACAACGTATTAACTAAACTTTCATTCTTAAAACTGGCTTTTTTACCAAACATTACTTAAGGCTTTTATTGGTAAGTGCATTAATAACTATTTCAGCATTCACTAAACTTGGCCTTACGCTGTGATAGTGCAGCTCACGGATAGCAGGTCTGTCAGAGACTGATTTTTCCTGTGATGCGTCCTGTGGCTCACCTGTCTGTGGAGGCCATCAGGTCAACACGTCTGACATCTGAGCAGAGACTCCAGTACCTGGGGAACACACCAGGTCTTGCTCTGGGGGACCAGCAGCATATTACAATAGCAGCACATGCTGGACAGTGCTAATTTGCCTGGGTTATTCTCTTCACCATTTTGCATATTTTAGAGGTAAGCTGTTGATTTTATAAATAAAGCATGAAAATAATCTTAATGCTTTTTTTGTTCAGTGATTAAGATGTGTAAAAACTCAAAAGATTTAAAAATATAATAGAAAAAGAATGAGCATTTCAAGTCCAAAGAAGTGGTCAATGCAGAAATTGTTTGGCTAGGGTGTTGTCAGTGGGTCAGTTCTGTCTTACAGTCCTTGCTTGCAGTGACCTCCTGAGTCCACTTTCAGGAAGCCAGGCTACGCATAGCCTGTGGAAACAAAGGGAAGACAGACAGTGTCAGTGCAACTCATGTCTCCCTTAGGTCTACATTTTTAAAATGTTCTATAATACTGGTTTCTTGTTTTTATTCATCTTAGGTATATATCAGAACAATAAAAGCAGGGGTTAAAAACTTAATTTTGACCTTAATTGGATTTACTTAAAAGCAATAATCACTATTCATTGAGCACTTACTATGTAAAAGACATTGTTCTTGTTATTTCAAAATGCATTCTTTAATTTTTGCAACTCTGTGATATTATTTCCATTTTAAGTCCAGATGCTAAAATGAAGAAAGGGTAAGTAATTTGCTCTGTGTTGTACAGCCAGTAAGTAGCAGAGTTAGAACTAGTCCCCAGGTCTATTTGTTTCCAAAGTCCATGAAAACACTGTGCTATACTCCTTCATTGTCCCTAGAAGGCCTACAGAATACTCTGCATGTTGCTTCTACTGCCTCATTTTAATGTAGAAGTTTGAATGATACTCTTTTAACATTTTTATCAGGACCTGAAAAAAGGCACAATAGCATCGCCTTTCAGATTTGCCTATGACACAGGTTGGGCTTGGGGATAAATATGCTAGATGATAGCTTCAGAATACAAAATAAACCAGTAAGATGCAATCTAGCAGAAATGCATGTAATATTTCATTTGGGTCAGAAACTAATTACAGAAAAATGTATATGAGAAGTCAGTAGTTGCCATTGTCTGCAAATCTTTAGCCAAAAGTTAAGTGCAAGAGGGCTTTCTGCACGGGCTGTTACACTGCATATTTCTAAGAAATCTTTCAACTTTTTTTTTCCCTTTTTGGTTTTTTTGGGACAGGGTCTCACTCTGTAGTGTAGGCTGGCCTTGAACTCACTACACAGCGCAGGCTGGCCTCAAACTCTTGATCCTCCTGGGTGCTGGAATTATAGGTCTGTGCCTACAGGAGGAGCAGCTCAACTTTAAAATTTTGTGACCTTCACTTGTTCCCATTTTACTCAGGGATGAAGTCACAAAGTTTATTCAGATACTACAAGCTCAGTCAAGTTTCCTAGGAATAACGTGCTGACAGGAGAGCATCTAAAATACATAGAAATCAGCTTCAGGTGAAGGCATATTTCTTGGAGGCCATTACCAGATGAAGAAAGATTATACAGTGGCTATTCTTCATGCTGTTCCTGAAGCTTATGAAATTTATGGGTTAGAAATACCCTCTCTTTAACTTTTCCCTTTCCCGTGGCCTTAGATTTCTACAAGAGAAATGTGCATTAGGTTAGGTTTAATCATGACAGTGCTCTGGCTGCTGCCAGTCACTGGTCATCTCCATACACCTGAGATAGAGGTCCCCAAATACTTAATGTCTTCAAGGGAGAAATCTTGGTTTCCATTTTCCCTTCCTGTGAAGTCACCTTTCCATATTTTTTGGAATTATTTTCTCTGAATAGTTCTTAACCAGACACATTCACTACCATATTACTTGATTTACTCAAGATTTAATACATGTTATTTTCTTGAGGAGAAGATAATGATTATACCTCTTCCTGGACATCAAGTTCGTCCTGAGTCATCTTTCCTTCCATTAATTCAAGAGGATCTTTGCAGTCTTGCATGAGGGTGATCTTGACAAAGAGAGTACACAGTATTTATTATAAATATAATAGCATCGGTCTGCTTCATACTTCACAAAATATGATTTGAAGCTTTGCTGGTGCTTCTGTAATCTGTAGACTTCAGAATCCTCTTCAGCCTTCTTATTCTTTTATATTTCCCAAGTTAGAATTTTCCCTGAACCATTTTTCACATACAAACGTGAACTCCTACAGTTCTTATTGTCTAAACTCCCTACTCTTCCTGAACCTCTGAAGTGTGTGCCTTTCAACAAGGGACCCCCTCTGCCTAGATGGTTGAGCACTCACTAGTGCTTCTCTTTCAGTGGCTGAGCTAAGAACACTTAGTATAGCATTGAGCATGCATGGAGGTACAGCAGAGGTTTGTGACTAAGGCGGTAAACAGTCTCAACTTGAATTTTATGGAGATTAATTTTATTGGAGATAGAAACCAATGTCTATAGCCCAAGGTAGTTCAGGAAAGTTCTGCCTTTTAGGAGTACTGTATGATTTAATCTTCTATACCCAGGAGACCAACAATCAGGGCTTTGTCTCAGGCATGAAAAAGGATATTTCCAAAGCAACTCCTAATATATACCAAAGTGTACATTAGTATACAAATGTACCGTAGTAAATGATTTGAAGTGGTATTTTGCTATTTTTCATGTCACAATTCTCTTAGTTAGTGTGGAAATTAACAGAGGATTAATTTCCTGTGAAAATGGCCATGATGTGATAGGAAAAGTACAGTTAGGTGTAACCACAAGTTGGGATGGTCCTTAGGATGGGAGAATAAAGGATAGGGAAAGTGTCAGTCATATCTCTGCATCTCCAGTATTTTTAATACACAAATGACTCTTCCTAAAGAAAGGGGAGGTGCCACAGGAGAAGCTGTGATTTACCATAACTGCTATGGAGAGGGGCTTTGTGCTAGACCCTGAAGACACATAGAGGTGTAAGGTTCCTGATCTCGCAGCCCCTCTCTTCAGTGAACCAGAAAGTACATAATGCAAGAATCCAGCTGTATTTAGCATAACATATTCAGGTATGAAAACAAATCAAGCAAACAAAAACTCCATCCCAGCTACTCACACCTCCCTGATTGCAAACAATGGAGTCTACCATGAGTGGGCCTTTTTGGCCAGTGGGTTTTGTCACATACATGGCTAAGATTTTAGATAGAATTGGGTGGTAAAAAAAAAAAAATTAACTGTTTTCATGTTGAGAAAGAACTTGATACATTGGTTTTATGTTTAATGTGGGATTTTTTTTTTTTTAGATACATGATCTTGGATGGAAATTAATTGTATTTCTTTATTTTGCTTTGTTTTTACTGATGGGCTAGAGAATTTCAAGTTGGATAGAAAAAGATTTGAGTATTCAAAGACGAACAGCTTATATGTTTTTATATTTGTGGTTTTACTACTCCCCCCACCAGAAACATTAAGCAGAGCAACCTCTCCACTACCAAAAGCTGAAAAAAAGTAATACTGTGTTCTAAATTAATTTTACTTCAGATATTGACTTCTTTAATAAAGATGTTTTTCCTAAGTTGAGAAAAATGAGAAGCAATTTAATGCATGTATGTCACTAGGCTTATTTTTTGTAGGTATTTGTTTTAGTTCCCCCAGTTCACTGTGACAGGATGTATGAAGAAATGAGGTTCTTGTTCCATGTCTGCTAGGAGACCTAGGCCATGAGCCCATCCAGAGTGTTTACCTCTCTAGAAGATCTGATGGAGAATGAAAAAATCTAGAGGAATGTAGGGTCTATTATATTTTGAGAGAGAAAATTAACCCTGGCTTAATTTATGGTTTTAATTATTTTTTTTCAAAGACCACTTATGGCCTGATACCTCCTATTTAAAGAAATTTATATATAATTCAGGGGTTTCCAGATGGCTGAAATTTCTTTTGCATTTATGTACACAAATCACAGAAGATGCTGTCTTCTAAAATGGCATTATAACAAAGCTACAGTGATAAAAATAGCATAGGACTGGCACAAAAACAGACACATGGATCAACTGATCTTAATAAAGGATGCAGAAATAACCCTAATACATTCAGCTATCTGATCATTGACAAAGGGGTGAAAGATACACACTGGAGAGATAGCCTCTTTAATAAATGCTGCTAGGAAAACTTGGTATCAACATGCAGAAGATTGAATCTAGACCCATATATCTCACCATATATTAAACTAAAATAAAAATGGATCAAAGATCTAAATGTTAAAACAGAAGCAATCTGTCAGAAGATAAGTAAAACACTTGAAGACATAGGCATAGGCAAGGACTTTCTGAACCCCAATTCTATGAGAAATAACATCAAGAATCAACAAATGGAATCATATCAAATTAAAAAGCTCCTGGGCCAGGGATTTAGCTCAGTGGTTCCACTGCCTTCCTCACAAGTGCAAAGTCCCAAGTTCAATCCCTAATACCAAAAAAAAAAAAAGCTCCTTCACAGCAAAGAAAACAACCAACAAATTAAAGAGACAACATACACAATGGGGAAAACTTTTTGCCAGCTATTCCTCTGAGGACTAGTACCTAAAATATAAAGAACTCAAAAAAAATAGACCTCTCCAAAATAAAAGACCCAGTCAAAAAAATGGGCAACTGAAATGAATAGATACTTCTCAGAAGATGTACAAATGCCAAAAAAATACATGAAAAAATGTTTAATATCTCTGGCTATTAGAGAAATGTGAATTAGAACACTCAGATTCTGTCTTACTCCAGAAATAATGGCTAGCATCAAGAAGTCAAATAATAAATATTGGCAAGGCTGGGGGGTGGGGGAAAGGAACCCTTCTACACAGTTGGTAGAATGTGAACTAGTACAAACGTTATGGAAATCAGTATGAACACTCCTCAAAAAACTAAAACTAGAAATTCCATTTGACCTACCTATTCCCCTACTAGGTATTTTCCTGAAAGTAGTAAAGACATAATAGTGCAGTGATGCTTACATAACTTCTGTATGTAGCAGCATAATTCATAATAGCTAAATATTGGAAGCAGCCCATATATCCATCAACAGATGAATGAGTGAAGAAAATAGTACTTATACACAGTGGAGTACTATGCCATATAGAAGATAAACTTGATTCATGTGTAGGAAAATGGATGCACTTTGAGACCATGTTAACTGAAGTAAATAAGACACACCAGCTTAACCTGGTTCTCTTAGGTGGCCTTTAACCTGGTTCTCGTATGTGAGAAATCCAAAATATAAATAAATACCAAAACAAAAGACAGATATTAGGAAACCGAGGACAGATCTCTTGCAAATGGGAAGGGGACCAAGAGATAGAAGAAGGGGGGATGGAGGAGAAAGGAAGAATATGAAAAAAGAATTGAGATGCGTGGTATACATGTACCAGATCCCCATGAGTCGTGTTACCATGTACTGAAAATGTACTAAAAAAAAAACTGGGAAAAAATAAACGGCATTAAAGCTAATGCCCATTTTTATTAGTTAGCCCCCATGCTATAGGACTACTATGTATTAGATACTACCAGGTACTGTCCTACAGCCTCTGTCATTTAGTCCTCACAACTCCCAAGCAAATTAAATGTTTTTGCTACAATTCCTTTGATGAAAAATTGAGGCTCTGAGAAGTTAGGCATCTGGCCTTAAAAACCAAACTAAATGTATTTTGCCATTTATAGAAATCCTAATGTTCCAGGAAAGATACAGATAGAAAAAAGTTAAATATTTACTGTTTCTAAAATGGAGTCTTGTCCTTCTTGGTCTTTAACCTGATTCTGTAGATAAAGTATGGCATCATGAATAGTCAAAAAGAATATGTCCTTTCTATTGTTATCAAAGAAACCACATCGCTCCATCTGTTTGATAACATGATCTGCAAAACAAAGATAATATTTAGCTCTAGGAAAAGTTATTTTTGAAACAAACCTATTACTCAGTGTTTTTAGACACCCTACCCCCATTTCCAAAATGTGATCTGCTCTAAACTGACTTTGTTTTCCAGGAGCGCACAGAACGTTTACCTCATAACTGCTGATAGATGACTTTGGTGCCTAAACATGTCCCTTATGCCAAGTCAGTGCACCCATCCCCCAGCCCCTGTGAACCTGGCAGCTAATAGTTCATAGTCATGCACTTGTCTGGAGAATTTTCCTTGACCAGTGGGTGCTGACTCACCTGAAGAGTCTGGGGGTGGGGGGGCAGCTTGTGTGCATTGACTGACAATAAGGGGGATACAAAGGCAGAGCCCAGCCCCTTTCTTAAGATGACATAACCATCTGGTGCTCTTCCTGCTTTGGGGCTCCTTGTATAATCAGAAGTCTATAAGGCTGTAAGGCTATACTCCTGAAATCATGTCTTTGATTAGCTTCTCCACCTAGCCTATCCTGCCTCCCTTACTCCTTCAATCATTTGTGTAAGAATTCCCATCCCAGGCTCTGCTTGTAGAGAACTCAACATAAGCACTAGCATTTTCCTACCCACATATGCAGCCAGACACAAAGACTCACACTCTTTATCAGTCCTCTTGCTCCAGTGGATCTAAGTCGTCTTCAGCTCTGCTCTCCCCATAACACCTCCTCCTCCCCCCGTTGATCTTTCTCCACTATCAGTTTAACCATCTGTCTGGAACAATTCAAAAGTAACATCTTTCTGGGTTCAAAATACCCTGCAATTTTTTAATGGGTACAGTTTCTGTTTGGTACTTTTCTGATGAAAAGTTTTAGAAGTAGATAATAAATGTGAATATAATTAATGCTACTGATTAATGATATATTTAAAAGTAACAATGGCAAATTTTCTTATGTATTATTTATCACAATACAAAAACAAAGGACTTGGGAGAAAATCTTAGATAGATATAAATGGATTTACCTTGAAGTGATGCAAAGTATACATTCACATCAATTCTTTGGAATTCTTTAACAATCTAAAAATAAAAAAGGAGAAAGTTACAATGAATAACATTCTGTGCCCATAATTCAGTCATATTCAGGTACTTGCTCAGAAGAAATGTCAACACTTTCATGGTTAATCAAGACTTTGAGGGAAGTTCATTATTGGAAAAACCATAGAGGTTTTCAACTTACAGTGATATATTTAAAGATGAAAAGACCATATCTCAAGAGATGACAATATCCAGTGTTCAGTAGCACAGCACTCTAATACAGAGATGCTCAGTAAATACTTGTAGAAAGAAGAAAAGCACAGAAGCTTCCTGATGTAGCCACTGCTGATAAGAGCAAAAAGCATGCGTTTCCATCTGAGTGGAAGAGAGATGAGTGTGGATGTGACCACTACATTCAGAATGTAAAAACACCTAAACATGGAGGTCTCTATTTTTAATGTACCAATGTCAGTATCCTGATTATAATTTTGTGCAGTAGTTTTGTAAGATGTTACTGTTGGAAGAAAGGGGCCAGAGTACATAGAATCTCTCCAAAAATTTTTTTCTCCACTATTTCTTACAACTACAAGTAATTCACAATGTTCATAAAAAGTTTAATTTTAAAAAAGACATGACTTATATAATGTATAATATATATATATATAATATATTCTAAACCTCATATTATTACATCTGATTGTTGGCATCTTCACCTACTTCCTTTTCTTCCTGACCCTTGTGATACCTACCTGAAGCTTCACATAAACTTTGTGTGTGACGTGATACCCTATTTAAAATCTACTTTGAAACACTTTGCACAGTTGTTATTTACAAGATTACTTAATGTTTACCTTCCCGTGTAGACTCCATAGTCTCACGAGGAGAGAAACTATGGCTACTTACCCATCACTAGTCTCTTGTGCCTGGCGGATTATTTAACACACCTTAGGCACTGAACAGCTGTTTGTTGAAGGAACAATGAACTGGAGCTTGCATAAGTGCTTTCTGATATGAATGTTTCCACCCTGCGTGCTACTCAACTCTTGCTTTGGCCTCCTAGATGACTGACCTGAAGCTCGCTCTGATCACTTAATAATGTCTGGCTGTCTCAGTCCCAGTCACCATGTTCTTGGTGTTCCTTATCCTGCTGCTGTTCTCAGTTGAATAAAACACTTAACAAAGATTTGCCATTTTTCCTTTTCATATTCCAGTTACATTCTCAGAAAAAACAATGTTAATATTCACTGACCAATATTCTGCTCAGCTCCTTGTTTATTAGCTTAATCTTCATGACACCTCTGTGAAGTAATTGCCACCATTATCCCTGTTATAGATGAAGAAATTGAGGCACAGACAAATTAAGGAACTTGGTCACAGTCAGACTGCTAGTAAGTGATGGAGCCAGAAATCACCACATAGCCTGGCTCTGCAGCTCATGAATCATCTTTTTGCAATACTGGGCGACCTATATCGTGTTACTATTACCACAGCTCCAATTCTGCAATGCAAATAGCCAGCAGCTTACCCTGTGCAAAGACCTCACTCCAACAACATCCAGGAAAGACACAGCTCCACAGTCAAGCACGAGGCTATGGATTGGCACTTTGGGAACATTCACTTTGACTGGAAGGTCAGAGTTCCAGTCCACTTGAAACTCAATTTCCTTGGTTGGGATATCAAGTTCTTTCGGATCTTCAATATCTTCATCAGGCTCAAAAGCAGCATTTGATGAACCAGCATCACTTATGATGCCATTCTAAAGAAAGAAAACACTACCAACTTAATTGCCACTGATAGGAAATGTGTTTTCATCATTCATCTCCAAATATTTAAAAAGCCTACATCCATTGTTCCTTGGTAAGCAAAAACATCAGCAGGGATGAATGCTTAAGGAATGATTTTTAGTCAGACCTGGTGACACACACCTGTAATTCCAGCTATTCGGGAGACTAAGACAAGGGGATTGCAACTTCCAGGCCAGCCTTATTAAGACCATCTCAAAATGGGGGCGGGGGCTGGAGATGTCCCTCGTGGTGAGTGCTTGCCTCGCATGTCTGAGTGAGGCTGTGCACACACAAATGGGTTTTACCTTCTTTCAAACTTTGATGTTCTCAGACCAGGAATTTAGCTCAGTGGTTCCACCGCCTGCCTTGCAAGCATAAGGACCAGAGTTCGATCCCCAGTACCCTCCCCCAAAAAACCCAAACTTTGATGTTCTCTAGGAAGAAAAACAGGAGATGGGGAGCCAAGAAACTCAACTTCTGGGAGATTATGGAAATTTGCCAAGAGATATACTATTGGTAGGAGAATCTGAATAAAGGTTAATAATAGCTCTTACGAATTTATAGGGCCAGGGATTTAGCTCAGTGGTTCTGCCGCCTGCCTTGCAAGCTCAAGGATCCGAGTTCGATCCCTGGTCCAAAAAAAAAGTTTGTGATCTTACTGAATTTGTACTTCCAATAAAAAGGTTTAAAAACAATGCAGATGCTACTCATTATGGGGGAAATTCACACCCTGTGTGTCCAGGGAGCAATGCTGATTTCATTTTTTCAGGAACAGCTAGCTCAGCCATTCTCTGACGTGCATCTGTCATCTGCTGGTACACGGGATAGATTTAATTTTAGACCACATATGTTTTCATCAGAGAAAGGAAAAAAATTAAAGAGGGGAGAGAAAGCTGTTACCTCACCTTTGTAGCCTTTAATTGCCCTTTTGTGATGAGTTTCTGTATTCTCCTTAGTGCTTTCAGCCTCTTGTTATATACTCTAATGGCATCAAATCCAACCTTTGGAAAAAAGTGTCAAGTTACTTAAAATATCTGCTTCCTACTGTTCCATACTGCCAGTTGTTAGGTGAACGGTTATTTCTCAGTATATAATATTCCTTGACACACCTTGCTGGAAAAGAAATTGTGAGCTCTAATGATGGAGAACCCTCTCCACCGCCAGACTCAGGAAAGACCATATACATTGTTAAAAATTCCAAGACAGTACAAGACAAAAACAGCAAAAGACAATCTCTAGCGTTAAGTCCGTTTCTCAGATTTTCTTGGAATCACAGAGCCCTTCTGTAAACACTCCTCTGAACCAGTTTGCCGTGGAACTCACTTGAGAAAACACTGATCGAAATTCGAAGGGTAGGCGACAGGGCGAGAACGTCCTACTTAACCGACCGTGTTTTTCACTCAGAGTTAGGGACCCTCTACCAGGACCTTGTCCCAGCTGACAGTCCCCAAACTGCCCGCACCCAATGTGGGCCTCTCCCTTCGGGACTTCGC